TTTTTTTGTAAAAATTTACATATAAAATTTAGTGTGTCAACTCATTTGACTCATAAGTACAGCAATCGAAACCCCTGTATAAGGACATGTCCTGTGACTGTTAACCTTTGATTTTGCAAAATTTTGTAAATTTTGCAGATCAAAAAAAAAAAAAATAATCGATTACATAATATTAAAGTTTAGAAATCGAAAATCACTAATCGTTAATCATAATCGATTTTTTTTTTTTTTGATTTGCAAAATTTACAAAATTTTGCAAACCGCAATAATTAACTAATCAATTAGTTAACTAGTCGATTAGTTGATTAGTCGATTAGTCAATTAGTCAATTCATCGATTAGTCGACTAATGACTTTATAATTCCTATCCTTACATAGATATACGCAATCGACATAGGAAGCACAACAAAGCCCGATCAACCAAATCACAAAAGAGCTGATCAGAGCAAATTAACACGACAAATTTATGGTATAAATAAGACCTTTGTCCAAAGCGGAATGGAATGGAACGGTAAGGTATGATCATGATCAATTATCAATAATAAGATATATAAAAAAAAAAAATTTACTAGAGATACTACCAAACACGATAAACATGATCAATGATCAAGATTTCAATACCATCACTATTTGTTCTATACATTAAACTGCTAGGATAAGACCGGTTTCAGACAGGGGCTATAAACTAGTTATGGGCCAGACTTTTTAAAGGACCGGACTTTTAACATTCCTAGTTTAGAAGGCCCACGTAAAATAAATTGCATAGTGTTTAGCATATAATACGCTTTTATTTAGGCTTAGGAAATGGGGTTAAGACCTAATAAAATTTGCACCCAGAAAATGTGTACCAGGTTGGGATCGGATGATCGTTCGGATGACAGTCCGGATTATGGTCCGGAAATTAAGTCTTCGATGATTTTTTCTAACGATAAGATTTTATTTTTCAATTAAATAACGATCATATAAAGCAATATTTAACGCAATTTACAATGTATATGTTGTGAGAATGGAATCTAAGCGGATTTGGAATTTCCTAGTTAAATTAGGGTTAGGGTTAGGTGTTTATATGATAAAATCAACCCCAAATCCACTTACGTACTTACGTAAAAAGTTAATGATCGATATTGTCATTAGCGTTAGCTTAGTATGATATTTTTCGTTTGTCTTTTCTTTCTGAAGA